AAAATTTATACTTTTTTTTTTTTTTTTTTTTTATCCAAAAACCTCTGCTTATAGAAAAGAGAACCAATAAAAACCAATACATACGAATAAGTTATATTTGTTACGCTTTTAAAGGGGCATGTTTTATACTATTAGATTTTCACTGAAAAGAAAGTAGGACACAAAGTTGTTACCTGTGCCTCGAGCTGCTCTGCGGTTCATCATTACTCTGAGCTCGAATGCAGCTTTTAGCAGCCATTGGTTGCTTTGTAGACGTGCTGCAACTTCAACTTTGCTGTTGCTTTTGTGTGAAAGACAATCATCCTCAGCGCAGAGGCTGTCGTTACAAACCTTCAGAACTCAATCTGCTTGATGATTTAACTGCTTAAAAAGATGATTGATGTCATTTCTTCTTGCTGCTCCATGTTAGCATCTGTTCCGTAGTACTCTTTGAAAACAAAACAAATTGGTCAGTATTTGTAGATTAAGATTTGCACTAATAAGGTCTTGTTATTAAGAGAGTAACAGATCGTCTATTCATTGTCTGTCGCATCAGCAGGTTCCTGATTGAGTTTGTTTCCTTTCAGAAATCGAAGGAGGAGGCTCTGTATGAAAATGTTCCCAAAAAACGATGATCAAATACTGTAACTAATGGAAATGAAGTTCCTACAGGGCCCTGCCTCACACGTTTGGTTTGATTCATATTCATTGTCTGCCAGGATGTCTGTTTTGTTTTCACTCTTTGTGTCATATGTTTTAGTGTTATTGTGAAGTCTGAAATTTTGTTCTAATTTAGTGGTTTACCAGTTGAGCAAAATGTTCTATTTTTAGTTGATCATATGGAAATTTATCTAACGTTCATTATTAAATATAAATTTCAACCTTCACTGTGCTCATGGCTAATGGAGTGTTTCCCTATAGCAATACACTGGCTACCTCACCTGAATATGTTCTAGTTTTGTGTTGGATGTTATCTTTAGAATGGAAATATTGATATTTTATTTGTGAACATCCGCTTATTTCAGTTAATGTCATAAAACTAACGAGCTAATTAAGTCATTCATTTTCGAATTTCGGCATTGCTTGCAATGCAATTATTTAAAAAAGCACATAGGCTAGTGATGGGTGAAGCTCGAAAATGGATTTTTATTATCCCTTATTAGGCTTATTATTTTGCATTGTAGCAATTATGTGCTTAATTAGACCAGTCGGCTACCTTGAAACTGACTGAAACATTTGAATCCTTTGATATTTACACATTTCTACATTGATCGTCAGTTGTATGATATTGATTGAACTGATAAATGGTGCCATCTGGTGTGTTTTTGAAGAACTGCAGTTAAACAGCATCAGCACTGTGAGCTCAACAGGAAACAGACTATTCTGCCAGTATTCTGACTATGACCAACCAGAATGTGACTGAAAATAGGCTACTATATCAGCCATTCTACGTCAAAATTTCACATTTGATTCAATGTGTTACTTGCTAATTATTTGTGAAATTTGCTAGCAGTTTCTAACTGAAAATGGTTTCAAAACCAATTTTGGCAAAGACAGCATTCATCTGGATTGAAACTGTGTTTTAACATTCCTAAAAGGAAAATGCAGTAAATTAGTAAATTATACTTCATAAAGACTTTATGATTCTGCTGTTGATGATCTTAAAGGGGTCCTATTATGCTTTTTCCACTTTTTCAACTTTAGTTAGTCTGTAATGTTGCTGTTTGAGCATAAACAAAGATCTGCAACGTTACAAAGCTCAAAGTCCACCGTGCCGGTGATGCAGTGTTGCCAGATATTGCTATGAAAACAAATAAAAACCGAAAAATAAATAAATAAAAAATAAACCGAAATGAGTTCAAATCTTTTGTAAATAAGGTATGATAAAGATATCGCTAACCCTAAACTGCAACTTCCCGCTCTATTAACTTTCTAAAGTGTCAAATTAAAGGTGACCTATTATGCCCCTATTTACAAGATGTAAAATAAGTCTCTGATGTCCCCAGAGTGTGTATGTGAAGTTTTAGCTGGTGCTCCCGCCTCCCCTTTCAGAAGAGGGTGGAGTTTCTAGAGCTCACGCACCGGCATGCCAGCAATAACAAAACACTCTCTCACGCACTGGAAATGTCAGAAACTGCTAGTTCAGCCATATATGTTTGAACCGGTGTCGTGCCGAATTCTGCACCCTGCCAGATTATTTATGCATCGCGTGCTAACACGAACTTTATAAGTCCCGAATATGATTATGAGCAAGACAAATTCAAGCGGTCGATTTCACATTGCTTTCATATGCAATTTTTAACCACCACATTCCTATTCACAATCATTCTGGTAGCACGTGAAGGCAGCATCATTGAAAACAGACAGACAATGGTAGCTTTAGCAACATTATTAGCCTTACAGAGTGCAAGAAGCTCTTTCAGAAAGGCAATTTGGAAAGCAAACGCGTGATACTTACTTCTTCTAGATGGCGGAACGTTAGCTGGATCACGAACAGTTGGCACTGCTCTATCCTTCAGGAGCAACTTTTGTGCAAAACCTGCTTTATACTGACCCATATTCACAAAGCAGTCCGGTGTAAAATGATTCGCGCAGACATAAACTAATTTCTGTAGAGTTGAGGGAGCATTTTATTCGAAAACAAAATTAATCCACCTCGTCTTCAGCAGCTCAGATTTCGGGAGTAAATGGAGAGAGCTATGTGGATTAATACATCCAGCAACAGAACACCTAAAACGCCGTCACATGCTTGAGGTATTCGGCCAATCACAACGCACTGGATAGCTGGCCAATCAGCGTACACCTCGCTTTTCAGAACGATGAGCTTTGTAAAAATCTACGCGTATCAGAAAGGCGGGGCATAGAGGAGACACAATAATGTACATTATGTGGAAAATAATGTGTTTTTTTTGGTTCGGTTACATCAGAAATAAGTTTCTCAGTTATGAGGAGAATAAGAAACTGGCTCTGATCTAGCACACAGAGAACGATTTGACTGAAAATTTATCAGAAGAGATAAAAGAAAGGTAGTGGTCATCTACGTAATTCAGAAAAAGAGGCGGCTTTTCTGCATTAGGTATTTTTTATTTATTTTTTTTACTCTTTGTACAGCAGTTATTGTTCATTCTAAATATATTTTTAATGTAGAATATGTGCTACATAAATACATGAAATGTAGAACATATAAAAAAGTGCTCGTGGCTCGTCTGACAGTGGGTGCCCCCCCACGCATAAAAGTGAAACTCCACCTATGGTTCATACCATGGGCGCTAAACATTCTTGCAAACAGTCTAAATTATACATGCAGACACTCATATGAGGAGCTTTAAATAGTAGATTAGTCGTTTAGAGAACAAATTTTATTTTTGAACATTAAAAATTTACCGAGGTCCGAACCTTGGTGACCTCATAGCTGGCTACTGGCATGCTCTCACCTACAAGCTGTCCACCCACCAGATCAAACCACATTTCTGAAGAATACTGACCACAGCAGGTTTCAGTTTGACTCAGATGATGAGCTGCTAGTGCCACAATGTGAGATGGCATTTACTCATTTCCTTAAACTTGCATGGACTTCTTTCTTCTTTTAAACACAAAAATAAGATATTTAGAAGAATGTTGGTAACCCAATAGTTTCTGGTCCCCATCAAAGTCCCTTTAAGGCAAGTCATGTCACTCGGCGGCCATCTTTGAAACACCTCTCGGGCATGCAAGTGCAGCTCCTATCACTTTGAATGGGGAAACATCAAATTCTCCAAAACTGTTCACTAAGCTCACGATTCAATTTTATATTTGAAATCACCAATTAAATCTGACTACAATTGTGTCATAACTGTTGTTTCTTTTGCTCAAATAGCGTTATAACAAGTTTATTTTTCAGGCTAGATCAGCCAGTGCGCATGCGCAGTCCTGAGCGCACGTCTCAAGCGCTGACTGTTTCTATAGCAACCGGGACTTCTAACGGCAGCTGCAGTGACGCGCTGACTTTACCGATTAGCGATTGGCTCTTTCATTCAGAAGGCGGGGCTTCCTGCGATTGAGCGGCCATATTAAGCGTTGCATTTTTCCCCCATTCAAAACTATACGAGTTACACGTCTCGGGTATTCTATAGTCATTGTCCCCTTTGACTCCCATAGTCATACCTGTCAACCCTCCCGTTTTTCCCGGGATTCTCCCGTATTTTACCATTCTATCCTGCTATCATCCCGTTTAATCAGATATGATATTGATATGTGCGCAGGTAGTACGGTGGGAAGGAAACAATGGGAGAAGAAGACTCAGGTGGTGCTCCATTGAAAAAAACTAAATATACATGTAAATGTATATTTACATGTATAATGAGATATAGTTTACACTTCAAAAGGCTATTTAATTGATTAAATATGAGCACTGCAAGTTTCAAAGTCAGGTGCTGCGCTGCTTTGAAACGGCTATATTCCTGGTGAAAAGCGCCACCTGCTGGCAGAGAATGAATTTGCATTTTTCAATAAGCCCTTCTGCTCTTTGTTTAGTCTAAACTTTAGACCAAAGCCAAAAACGACCCTTATTTTTACGCAGAAAACACACAGTTGTAAATGTGAACTGGTGGATCGACAAGAAGATAATGAATTATAAAACTCTAAAGATATAACCTACACTAAGATATACTGTATTTATGTTACTAAATGAATATAATTGTTTGATAATAATAGTTTAAATTAATATAAAAATAAAATAATCAATATAACATAATACAATATAAAAATTGTATTTTTATATACAATAAAAATATATTAGAATATTTAGTCGTCCCCCCTTCCCTTCCCTTCCCTTCCCTTCCCTTCCCGTATTTTGGTACGCAAATGTTGATAGGTATGCCCATAGTACGGGACAAAAAAAAAAAATACTATGGAAGTCAATGGCTACCAGCAACTGTTTGGTTATCAACATTCTTTAAAATATGTATTTTTGAAAATGTTCAGTGTTAAATGATATAACGAAGAATGTTTACTGTTATTAAGTCTTAAAAATAGCCAGACAAGCATTTATATATAACCATATGTCATTTGTGCATTTCTCCCAGTAGGAGGGTCAAACGCTGTCACGGGAGGATTCACACACCAGATGAACAGCTCAAGTGTTTTAGATCAGACTTTTCACTGAGCAACTGAAGAAAATGTTTCACGTGTTCGTTTTGTTCTGTTTGTGCTGGTGGCGCCTGATTGGTAAGTTATAAATATATGTGTTTTTTTTGGGTTCATATTAGTAACATTCTTCACAGCTCTTAAAAGTCATGGAAAGTAATGTAACTTCAATTTCAAGGTTTACAAATGCAAATACTGTCTTAAAAATTATTTTAAAAATACTTCGGTAGTAACCATGAACAACAACAAAAGTATAAATTCATTAGTCAAAAAGTTTATCTACTGATCTATATGTCCCATATACAAAACACGTGGCGTTGATGATATAAAGAAGAATTGTTCATAATTGACTTTGTAGCTTCATACATTGTGTTCCAGATGAATGTTCTGCCGTTCTGAATGTTTTTCAATTCACATTTAGTTACAAACGACAGCTGATTTCAGGCTTTGTAAACCATCAGAGGCCTTAATCTGTGTAAAATCTGTTTGTTCATCAGGTGTGTTTGGTGAGTCGGTGTCAGTGACGGAGGGAGATTCTGTTACTTTAAAAACGAATGTTACTGAAATACGTGAAGGCGATGATGTACTGTGGAAATTTGGAGCTGGAAAGTCTCAAATAGCTAAAATGAAGAAAAAGAAACAAATCTTCTCCACATATAATGATACTGACGGGAGATTCAGAGACAGACTGAGGCTGGACGATCAAACTGGATCTCTGATCATCACAAACATCACAACTCAACATGCTGGAGTTTATCAACTAGAGATTAGTGGAGAGAAACTGTCATCAAAAACATTCAATGTTTCTGTCTATGGTGAGTAGAGATCTTTTGTGACCCTGGACCACAAAACCAGCAGAGGCGGACAGTGACTAAGTACATTTACTTGAGTATTGTACTTAAGTACACTTTTTGAGTATCTGTACTTTACTTGAGTATTATTTTTTCTGGGAACTTATGACTTTAACTTCACTACATCTGAAAGACAAATATTGTACTTTTCACTCCACTACATTTCTATCAAGGTCCTCGAAGTAGAAAGTCGTTACTATGTGGCAGCTTTGAAAGTCAGTGGGTGATTTTTTTCTTCTCTAATACGTAACGTAGGAAATTTACAAAATATCTTCATGGAACATGATCTTTACTTAATATCCTAATGATTTTTAGCATAAAAGAAAAATCGATAATTTTGACCCATGTTTTTTTTTGGCTATTGCAAAAAATATACCCAAGCGACTTAAGACTGGTTTTGTGGTCCAGGGTCACATTTGTAATGACCTTCAATGCCACAAATGCTGTCAAGTGTGTTTAAGTGATACTGAAACCAGAATATTCCTAAAACTATTTACATATTGAAGTGCTTGATCATTTTGTAGTTTGAGATGAAACACTCACTGACTGGCAACACACTACACCGAAAATAAGATTGTTGACTAGATTTACCCAGGTTTCTGTTTATTTTCTGACGTTTTCAGCTCGTCTGCCTGTTCCTGTCATCAGCAGTAACTCTTCACACTGTTCTTCATCATCATCATCATCATCATCACAGCAGAATTGTTCATTGGTGTGTTCAGTGGTGAATGTGGGTCATGTGACTCTCTCCTGGTACAAAGGAAACAGTTTATTGTCCAGCATCAGTGTGTCTGATCTCAGCATCAGTCTCTCTCTACCTCTGGAGGTGGAATATCAGGATAAAAACAGCTACAGCTGTGTGCTCAACAATCCCATCAGCAACCAGACTCAACATCTGGACATCAGCAAACTCTGTCACACATGTTCAGGTACGGCAGCGCTGAGATTAACGTTGATTCGATCTCTCAGTTATACAGTGCTATTGTTTGATAGTGTTTGTTGAAGATCAGATAGACAGATTCAGTCACACTAATGGCTCATTTTGTTCATTACAGAACAGGGCCTACCTTTATTGTACACAGTGTTGATTTCTGCTGCTGGATCTCTGTTGATTGTAGCTGCAATCGTGATCTTCTGCATCTGCAAGAAATGTAGAAAAACAGGTCAGAATTAAAGCCTATGTTGAAATATTTATCTCTAAGGCATACATTTCAATACAAGATTGAAAGCTTTGTGTTTTAACATGACTTTGTTTATTGTTAATGCAGTCGTGATCCAGGAGATATACAGAACTGATTTAAAACCAAAACCTCGAAAAACGGTAAGATCATTTATGACTGTTGCAGTCAGTTAGTCTGATTGAAGCTTGACGTTTAAAGTTTTGTGTGTAATATGACATTCAGTGAACAGATGTGGGTGGTCTGCCATGATCATTATTACCTTCAGTAATTGCTTGTTTTTATGTTATTTACTGTATGCACCTCAGTGTAAATACTAACATACAGTATCCTACTTACACAAATGAATTGGCGCAAAGCAAAACTTATTAGCAGACATAAAAATATTGTTTCCTCCAAAGAATAAGATATTATTTTTGATAAATTATCATTATATTTAATTATTAGTTCATCCAAAACTAAAAAAAGTTACAAACCCGCATGAGTTTATTTTAGGCAGTAAGGTTAGCCTCACTCACTCATTCACTTTCTTTGCATCTTTTCCCCCATACAATTAAAGTGAATTGTAACTGTCAGTCCCTTAGCCTACTTTCTGCGTTCCTCCACCTTTTGTGTTTCGCGGAATAAAGTAAGTTTATCTCCATCGCGGGCTAAACTTCCATGTTTGCAGTGGTCAGGGAGACTCGTGCCAAGACGCTCATCCAATTTTAATTGTGCTTTTTTTTTTATTTACCACCGAAAACAGTTTTCGATGTCTGTTATTACTCCAGATGTGAACGATCGGTTGTGCCCACGTACACACTTCAGCTTAATAAGGGGGGGAAATAGCACGCCCAAAGATGCTTATAATATGTGGAGATGGCAACTCTGCGCAAGCGCACTTGGCGAAGCAACTTCACAAGCATAAACAAAACTGACTGACCTAGACACGAGCTGTCTACATAGAAAAACAATGGAAAAGTAATGCAGTGGGAAAAAAACTCTTAAGGTTAGCTTGAAACAAAAATAACAATATATTATGGTTGCACGCTCTCGTTCACATTTGTAGGCCTACTCTGTAGTTAAAATATAGCCTAA